AAACATAAAAATCAACAATTTTCACTGGGGGATAAAAATGCTTCACTAGGTAAATCAGCTACTAACGGACTTATCTAGGAATAACTACCGATAGCAAACTGTTGTTCAGGCTAACTTTGACTATTTTCACACTTTGTAGAGAATGAAATATGGACAGCATTATAACAAAAAAAAGAGATTTTGAGAAAAAAAGCCTTGGAAAATTAGCATACCACCGAACATCAATTTGACACAAGCTTTTGAAAATGGCCGGTGGTTCCCAAGTCACTTCGCCATCATATCGTATGGTTGCCTTGGTACTGATTGTTATGTTGTAATTACTATCAGCACTGCAATAATAATAATCTATGCATCAAATCATTATCAAAGAGGACTGACAAAAACTTAAAAGAACCAAAAAAAAGCGAAAACCGAAAAAAGAGATGTGTATGTGAAGACTTAATACATACAACTGCTGTTTGCACTGTAATGTTTTGCTATCGAAGTCAAAGATTTTTTTTTGAAAAAAGGAAGAGAAAGAAAAGGATATGCAGAGTTATATACATTATACAATATATATATACATATATGTAGTATACATATACTATATATATAGTATATGTATACTGCATATATATACATATATGTAGTGTACATATACTATATATATGTATATATATAGTATATGTATACTACATATATGTATATATATGTATATATATATTGTATAATGTATATAACTCTGCATATATATGAGCACACACCTTGGACATCTCAAAACGGTTAAAGCCCTGTCAGCTACATGCTTCAACTGGGAAGACCTTTAAGCTATTTCGGAAAACACTGGCGGGTCCGGGCGATGGGTGTTTCGTCTCCTCCCCTCCCCAGTGGCACAGGTAGCAGCTGTTTTACTGGAGAAAACTCTCTCCGAAACCGCCTGTCGTCCCCTCCCCCCGCCCCTAGGAGCCCCACTTTCTTTCTCCCCTCCTCCTTGGTCGTCGCCGCAGCTTAGGTTGACCAGCGAGGAGACGGAGGGAAATCGCCCCTCCCCCACCCACCCTAGAAAGCCGTCCTGGATCCACCTATGCCAGAAAATCAAAACAAACGTAGGAATCGCCAGCTAGCTGACCATCAAAAGATGCAGTACTAATCAAAGTAACTGGAGAAGTTATTGGCTGAACAACTTGAAGATCGTGCTACAAAATATAGCTAATCAAAAAATACTGTATGAGGTCAATAATTTTCAAGATAAAATATTCCCAGTTTGAGCCATAACGTGATTCCGAATCCGCATTCCTAGAAAATTGAGTTTTTCCTTTTTTTTAACGAGTTTTTTTTTGGAAGCTCCGTTTTTTACAAAAAAAATCCTGGTCAGATACCACTGACAATGGAATACCAAAAGAGTTTCGTTTTTCGATTTTTTCGAAGCTTTTATTATTTTCGTCTTTCTGTAATTTTAATTTCTTAACAATTAAATTTGAAAACAATTTAATCAATTACTTGTTATATAGGACAATATCGGGAACCCATATCATTTCGTAAGGGACATAAAGCACGCTCACTCCTCCGTAACTTCTCGGATCCCATGATAATTTGTTGTCGATCCAGACCTGTTTCAGCCATACACTGCATGTCATTATTTGATCAATCTCGTGCTGAAATTTAACGGTAAATAATAGTAAACAAGTCTGAAAACAAAAAGAATTGGAGTGATTTGGCGGTTTTGCCAGTCGATGGTCGCCTATGGCATATGCTATCACTTGGGCTACTTCTTTGACATGTCTGTCCCTCACAGAGAGCGAATATGGGGGTGTTTTGACTCTTTGAATTGTAAGCAAAATTACAGTAAAAGTGACTGTTTTATAATTCGATTTCTCTGGACTTTATTTCTGGTAAGTGCTATGTGTCATTGTGTGATAGTCCTGAGAGGAGCAACAGTAATCAGCTTCAAAAAACAGCCATACGCCTGCAAAAAAAGACGGCGAATTGTTACTGGCTTATAAGCGAATACAAGATGGACTCTCGAGGAGTGGGAAGGGAAGGGGGGGGGGAAGGGAGGAGCAACGGGGGTGGAGATGAGAGTCCACTACAAGCCTGGAACTATGCAAAAACTAGGG